ACCAGAAATTGGTTAGGGGTTCTTCCGAACTTATGGCCACAGAGATGGTATCTGCCTCCCGAAAACAGGAAGTTTACCTGAGGCCGGAGCCCAGGGTACAGTGGAGTGACAATCGGGCTGGCCTCCTCTTCCCTGCCCTCCCGATGCTGGCCGGGGGTTCCCCATGCCACCAGCCCCGCCAGAGATCCACAGGGGGAGTGGGATGGGAGGCTGGTCCGCAGGCCCTGGAAGGCCCCGCGCCAGGGCAAGCAAGTGGCAAGGCTCAGTGAGGAGCCGTGCCGAGTGAGGAGGGCAGGCCTGGCCGAGCTGGCTGGCTCCGCCCCCACCCGAGAAAATGGAGGCAGCCCTGGTGCCGGTGACTGGCCTGGTGTGGCCGGCGGAAGCCAGGCGGGCATCTGCCCCACAAGCAGGGCCGGGCTGGGGGTCACTTACAGACCTGGGCTGGCCGGGTGGCTTCCTCTCCATTTCCACGTCATCGCCGTCACCTCAGGCTGCTCACTCGGTCCCGCAGCGCAGCTCGGGTGCTCTCAGAAATCTTCTTTTGTGTCGGCCCTAAACCTCGAATCTGTAGTTGCTTTTTTATCGCTGTAGATTAGTTGATCAACGACTTATTCATTTTTTGTTGCTCTTGGAAATGCAAATAGCACTTTAGTAGCACAGTGCACACTTCTCAGGCTCGTGCTGTCTTCTGGCACCCCCCCTCCAGACCCATCGCCATCTTGGTCCTTTGGCTAGACATTTAGACCAACAATTAAATAACAAGCACACAAGACAGACTTATCTTTACCCTATAAACCACTGGAATGCTTTTAGCTTTTCACTGCTAAATATATATATATATATATATATATATATATTTAAATTTATTTATTATTATTTTTACATTCTAAGTTGCTGTTGCAGAGCAGTTGGGGTGGAGGGGTGGAGGGGGAGAGGAGAAGGGGGAGGAGGATAGAGTGGGAGGATGAGGAAGGGTGAGCGGCATAGTCAAGGCCTGTGGCACCCCTCTCACTCTGGCAGAGGAGGCCAGGGGGCTTCTGGTGGTGGCTTGGTCATGGCTGGGCTGGATCTGAATGTTGGGGGTTGCGATTGAGGCCCTCGGCTTCCCCAAACCCAGCTTGGGAGCCCAGGGTGCTTCCGATGGTGACACGGTGGTTGTCACTGAGCTGGATGAGGACGTGGTTGGGGGTGCGTGTGGCTGAGGCCCTTGGCCCCACACTGCCCCTGCTCAGGAGTCCAGGGCACTTCTGGTGGTGGCCTGGTGGTGATCACCAGGGTAGATGTGGATGTTGGTGGGGCATGGCTGAGGCCCTCGGACTCCCCCACCCAGCTTGGGAGCCCAGAGAGCTTCCCATCCTTCTAGGTTTTGTAGGTCTTCTTTGGTAGTGTTAGACCTTTACAGGTCAATATCAGAACTTGGTCTCTGATCTGTGGGTGTTTTGTGTTTTCTTTCAGTTCTGTGTTGGATTATTAGATACCCCCACCACTTAAAGTCTGCACTGGAACTAATTTTTTGTCCTTTGGTTACTTCTAAAA